ATTTATCCGTCCTCATCTGGTGAGATCGACCAACGAATCTCTTCTTCATGCACTTTTATACGAAATGAAATTCCCCCTAACATGGTTAGAAAGAATCCTAATATCAGCCCTGGGTAATCACGGCTTAATGACTTAAGGAAAAAAAAGAAAAAAGGATGGCCAGGATTGCGTTAGTCTGTAAGTAACCCTGGCTAAATTGATGAGATGTAAGTCCGTACACGTGAAGGTCATGTTACGAAACCACCAGTCCGAACTCGTTAGTCTGGGTTATTAACCTTTAACGATCCAAGCCGAAGTTTGGCTGTGATTGCTGATGAGCCCAACGCATCTACTGAAAGAGGGTTAATTTGGTTAGAACCATCACTGAGCTGACAATTTGAGTCGCCTTATTTTGAATGGTGGCTCAATACCCTCTCTCTCTCTCTCTTTCAATGAAGCATAAGTAATTCTTGCTCAACTTTATACCACTAATACCCACATTCAACTTATTCCCTAATCTATTGGTTTCAATAGCCTCTCTTATCTTGCGTTTCGTAGCAGACACACCATGGTCAGCAAACCTTTACGTACGAGACCACTCTATCTCATGCCCAGTCTCAGTCGTGGGTTCCGCCACAGCTGACCGTTCTACCCAACTGCCTTTACAATCATTTTTTACCCCTCTAATCTTTGGCGGATCAGCTGACAGGTATCGCCAACATAGGGTAGACCACATGAGCATATAATCTAATAAAAACCGGATCTTGATATTTGGTCATATTTCTCTCTAAAACAGTGTATAACTGAAGAAACTGACATAGTTTCTGTGAAAAGATTAGAGCATGAGAAAGGGTCTCGGGTTGCCTCTCTTTGGCCAAATAGTCTCCGCCTGAAAATGTATTCCTTATTAAAGATATATTATTATCAATTAAGCACAAAGTATACTTATTCTCGAAAAATAAAAGTTTCAGTCTTCTTAACTCTTCGACCAGATGATCATAGAATAAAAAATTCCAATCTTAGTTTTACAACTATGAGTAGAAAGAAAGTTACGAACAAAACCAGCATATGCTAGTTTCTTATAAGCATCTCTGCCTAGCTTACCATCTTCCTTACTAACTATAACGTCCAAAAAGATAATTCCCTGTGTTATTATAACTACATTGTGAATTCAATATTTATTTCA